TAAGGATGTACTGAGGTGGTGGTGCACTGGGGGGGGGATGGTTGGAGGGGGGAAGGGTGATGAGGTGAGGATACTAAACTTAAGACAACTCTTATACTTAACTTTAATTTTGCTGTTACTTCCAATATACTGTTTGTTACGCTTCTCCTCTACCATTGTGCCTCCTTTTCATTCCTCGATTACAACCATGCATAGATCGTGCCAGTGGTGTATCGTTACAGCCTGTCACCGTCGCACGCAGATGAACTGAGTTCGAAATCCGCTAGCGGATATTACGTCTAAAAGCGTACTTCCGTCTGTCTGCAGGGGCGTTTTAATTCTTTCTCAGCAAGGATTGTCCCTGGTTCGTAAGGTCGACGTAGTTTGCCTCCTAAAAGATCTAAATTGGTCGCATAGTGGTGAAATCAGGCGCTCGTCAAAATGATGAAATCGTAGAAATCGACTTGTTTCCACCTGTTTGGCAATGTTTTTTTCGAATATTTTTAAAACGAATTCTTCATGAATTTTATTGAAAAGCTCTGACCAAGGGCCAGAAAAATGTAAATTTCCAAATCCATGGACATTCACTCTTTCAAAGTAAGAAACGTTTGGCGGCCTTTTTCTTGCTAATGTTACTTCTGACACTAGGCTACCCCCCATCCTCCTCTTTCAATCGTAGATATTTTGACTTCTGTTTCTTTTGAATTGAAGACAATGAGTATTACAATTTTTTCATCAGAACCAAGACAAATTATGATTATAGCTCTACTAATTACTTCACATGCCCAAAAAATTGACGAACGCCTGATTTCACCACATCATGACACATTACTGCATCTTCACTTCTAATAAGTATATAATTAGGAACGTATTCCTAAATACGAATGTTCTGGTCGCACATACTGCGCCGTATGGTGTAATGGTTAGGATCTTCGCCTCAGGCACGAAAGACGTGTAGCCGATTTCTATGTGGAGAAATAAGTCCTACTTTATTGGGTGTCCCAGCCTCCCTGATCGAACGTAATACTTAACCGTACGTCGTGATTTACTATCGTATCCATACGACGTGGGGAACTCTGTGCCACCACTTTCCAAAGAGGAAATTTGCTGGTTAATTCGATCCGTACGTTTTTTCATAGCAGTCAGTCAAAATGATTTTTTGAGAAATACCGAAAGTTTCAAAGAGATCTTTGCACTAGAAGTATTCTAAAATGTGATGAATACAACCCCGGGGGTACAAAATGACCCCGGGGCGTACGGATAGGGTTAATACCTCATTCTAATGGACTATCTGTAACGTTGCAGTTTGGCGGTTCAGCGTTGTGTGCAAATGACTCGAGTTCGATTACCGTGCGGGGCGACATTTTTATCAAAGCATCTCGGTCATATTGCCGGGGTGTTGAATCCATGTCGTCTCAACTCTGACTGGATTTGACAGGTGGGGGCCTAAGACCGCCTCTTTAATTGTGTAGACTGTGTTGATGGAGGTGTGAAACATCTACAAAGATTATTTCTTTAAAAATATTAGGAGTGGGAAGGAAAGTTCTCATTAAATGGCATTTTGAATTATTAGATTATCTCACAGGCCGCTAGCAGTCCTTCTTTCAAGAAACATTTCTTTAACCTCTTCGCTGCCTGGCCCAATACTGTTTTGGGGCCCATTTGGTAAGGCTGTGCTTGAAAGTGAAACGGTTAGAGTGAAAGAATAAAACGACTGCTAAAAAAACCTACACTTTGAACAACTCTTTGAAATGAAAAAAAAATTATTTATTAAAAAAACCCAGCCACTGATAATGACTCTTTGCTTACAATCTGGTGCAATTACTAAACATCCGTCTCGATATCTATGCGGTTGTGCAAATAGGTGTCTGATTTATAGTATCTATTATTTAATCTGGTGTTTTTTTTGTTTTTTCGTGACTTTTTACAGGCCATGCTTGTTATGCTTGTTATAAATTCCAAAGACATTAATTTTTCCGAGTTTCTTCGATATCATTCCCGCCGCAAGCGGTGTGTTGTTCGTGTAGATAATGTATTTGCAAATCAATGTTGTATTCTGGAAGCTAGATTTGAGCAGCTTGTTGACAATAGATTGTTATGTTGTAAACACAGCGTGTGTCTTCTTCTTCTTCACCTCTCTGTGTGCTGGTGATTGGAAGGTTTCTTCCTTTTCGTTTTCTTCTTCTTTTTCTTCTTCTTCTTCTTCTTCTTCTTCTTCTTCTTCTTCTTCTTCTTCTTCTT